GCCCGGCCTCCTCGCGGAGTACGAGGCCATAGTCTGGCGCGGCTTCTTCGACGAGGAGGACCTAAAGTGGGGCGTGTGACGACTACCTCCGCGACGAGATGGTCCGGCAGCGCCGAGCCCTGGAGGAGATAGCCGCCCGCAGGCGTGGGCGCGAGGACGAGCATGGCATGGTGATCCTCGACAGCGACGAGGAGGAGGACACCCCGGACCGTCCAACCCGCCGCGCCAACCTGGGAAGGGGTGCAGCAGGGACGGCGGCCACGGAGGAGGCGACGACGACGACGATGACGGCGACTACACGTAGATCTACAGCCGCCTCGGCATGTAGAGCTTCAGGGCGGCGGGCGGCGAGGAGCGGCAACGCAACTGCGGGCCTAGTAGCGTTTTTTTTGTGTAAAATATTTTAAATATGTATGAACTCGCCGAAGTTTGGATGAATTTAGCCGTGTTTTAAACAAACTCGCCGAACATTTTTTTAAAACAATTTAACGCACCTGGGGCGGCCATGGGGCCGGTGACTGAGGACCAACTCGCTCCAGGCCGATTTTTTGCGCCGGCCCGCCCCCAGGCGGTGATTTTTGGCGCCTCCCGATGGGCCAACGGCTGGAGATGCTCTTACATGTGATGATAACGTGCACTACGAGCAAGGGTGGCCAATGCTTTTGACCATGGCGAGAGGGGACTAGAAAAGACACCCTCGCGCTGTCCATCCTCTTGGAGTTGTCCCTGATGTATTCGAAAAATGTACAGTGTGTTTGAAGAAGATAGACATCAAAATATATCTTTAAAACTATTAATTATGTATTTCAAAAATATTTAATTTCTATACAAAATTTAGGTGTATAAGAAAAATGTACAATGTATATGAAACTAGACATTTCTTAAAAAAAGAAAAATAAGAAAAGTTAGAAAATATAAAAAACTTAGAAAGAAACACAGAAAACCAACACAAAAAAGCTTGAAAACCGAGACAAAACCATTCAAAACCGACACAGAAACCCATAAAAAGAAAAGAATAGTGGGAAAGGATAAAAAGAAGAAAGAATGAAAAGGAGAAAATAGTAGAAAATCGGTAAAACCGTAAAAGAAACGCAAGAAACAAAAAGGAGCTGGAAAGGTTCTAAAAGCGGTGCAAACCTGTCTATAGAACCTTTCTAAAACCGACTTAATGGGTCAGCCCATGAACCCCTGCGATAGAGGTGAGGCTATTGTCGGTCTCGCAATAGGCGAGAAATAGCCATGGGGAGCATGGCGGGCCACACTTTTTCTAACAACTAGCAAGGAGTCCGTGCATTGCAATGAAACCACAATAAAATTAGCTCTGCCATGGATCAAAGTTTGTTAAATATTTCTACAGGGAGATTGACGACAGGGCATTGTGGAGGAGCAGCCGACATGGAGGGCGTATGGAGGAGACGGGAGGATGTTGCAGTGGGTTCTAGAGTTTGGACTCTATCTTCAGGAACCTTCGCCGCCGCTGGCAAGAATGCAAGGAGATAAACCATAAAGGAAACGAGGCTGGGATGAGTACTTCCGTATTTTATACAGTGGCAGAGGTGGGTAAATATCTGCTACCTCCGGTGGCAAGGCCATGTCTCTATGCACACACATCTCAGCCGTTGGTTTCAGGTAGATCGAACGGCTCATGTTGTCCAGAGGCAGACACACCATCATCATCAACTGAGATTTTTATAGGAGTAGAGATTTCCGATTCAAATGTTGTGTGTTGGGTGTGCCACACTTCTTGAAACTAAAAAACCTTAGATACATATGTCTATTTAGGTCCTGGTTTTGCTTTCGGGTCATGCCCGTAGAGATACAAGTCAGGTTCCTCAAGCCTGCAAAACTTATGAAACTAATACAAAATATATAATAGCATCCAATTTAATTAATGAAGGATTCAAACCCTACAAAGCATTAAGGGAAGCGATTCAAATTATAGCAAGCCAATATATGACGCGTTGCTGTCACATTTATCGTGCGCCGCATGTCCCTAGGGAGGCCTACACGATGGCTCGCCCTATTACCCCTGGTCCTTTCTCCCATCACTATATGGCCACATATTTTTTTTATCGGCGTTGTCCCTGTGAGGAGGGGTGTCCTTTTCCGTGCGAAACCACTACGAGGGGTGCTAGAAAAGGCGCCCGCATACTGTCTATCTTCTCGGAGCTGCTGCACAAGGGTGCTCCCACCAAAGCCCTCACCATCAACATGCACCGCCGCACCTCCAAATGACTGTTATTACATGTGGTGACAACGTGCACTACGAGCAATGGTGGCCAATGCTTTTGACCATGGCGAGAGGGGGCTATAAAAGACACCCTCGCGCTGTCCATCCTCTTGGAGTTGTCGCACGAAGGTGCTCCCCACCAAAGCCCTCACCGTTGACTGCTTGTAGTGCATGTCGTCGTCACATGCAACAACAATCATTTGGGAGTGTCATCGCGCATGGCTGTTGAGCAGTGGTGATTGATGCTACAAGTGTCATCATGCAAGGCTAGTGCAAGGGAGCAGCACGAACAACAAGCTGCAACCGACACGACGGGCAAGCACTCGTGCTAGGGGCAACTGCAAGCATTGACAAGCGGTGCTACAAGACTACAACCAATGAGTCTTGAAGGCCATCCACACCGACAACCAACATGCATCAACGGGTGCAGGTCCTGCGACGAGCAGTCAACGCGAGCTGCAGCGGGCGCTGCTTGCACCTCTACTCTGATGTCCTACCAAGTCATTCCCAGTGGCGCCCACCCGTTGCTTTAGAGGTCCCTACGTCACAGAAAAAGCATATATTCTCCAGAGGTCCGGTGCAATTTCAGAGGTGGATTTACCGTTCAAACACCTGTTGTTTGGTGCAATAATTCCAAACTTACAAGACCAAATACCTCCCAGGTCCAAGCATTAAAGATCATTAAAGATGCTACCACCACTATCCTATCATCGGTTCTGCGATGTTTTTCCATTCCTCTATGTAAAGAGCCTAATACATGAGTGTCAAAAAACGTCTTAAATTAAGTTACCGAGGAGTACAAGTTTGTTCGAATAAAATTTGAGCAAAGCACTTTTTGGGTATGTCTTGAGCAGTCACTGTCATTGTGATATCAATGTTACAACGGTGTAATGTAATACCAATATGGCTGTACACGATGTAATGTAATACCAATATCATGTTACAACAGTGTAATGTAATACCGTTATGATTGTCATTGTGATATCATATATGTCATTGTCATTTGAGCAAACCACTCTTTGGGTGCGTCTTGAGCAATCATTGGTTCAATCTTACGACTGTACGGTGACGATGTCCACTCGGGTAATACCAATATGGCTTCGGCAACGGCCAACTGTCATTTTTCATAATTTAGAAACAAATCAGGAAAAAGGACCCATGTAAAACTAAGTAAACAAAACTTATTGATACATGTTATACAAAGAACATACCGAGAAATAGGCTTCTTTGTAATACCAGCAGCAACAGGCCTACAGTAGACCAAAGGATGGTTTTACATCTAAGGATAAATGAATGTCTAATCTGGTAAAATCTAATCTGATATGGTAGCTCAATAGCTTAACAAGTTACATAGGATTGGGAGGAGGGGAAAATGGATAAGACACCCTGAGAGCAGAGGCACCTGACCCTCAGTAACTCCAGCACATGATTTGACGCCTCAACTTTGAACCAAGAACTAACATGTGATTATTTAGAGCATAAATATTTTTAACATTTCCAACGCGTTGACAAAGTGCAAAATCAACTAAAAGCTTACACATCAGTGCCAAACTAAATCTGAAAATTACCATACGACCAACAACCAAACTGAACCCAAATTCTACAATTGTGCACTCCAAGATGTATGACCCAAAATTAAACTAGAAAGGAACAAACTGATCACTCAAGTCTACTTCACTAACACCTTAATACTATGTACATGAAAAGCACTCACTAGTAGAATACAGGGCTTTGGTTCGGCCAGAAAAGAGCATTAGTACCGGTTGCATTGCGAACCAGGACTAATGTGAGCATTAGTCCCGGTTCGAGCGGCTAGGGCACCGTATAGGCATTACTCCCGGTTCAAATGGGACCTTTAGTCCCGGTTGGTGCCACGAACCGGGACTAAAGGGTCTGATGCCCATTAGTACTGGTTCGTGGCACGAACCGGTACTAAAGGTCTAACCGGTCTAACCTTTAGTACCCATTCGTGCCACGAACCGGTACTAATGGGGTTGAGGCATTAGTACCGGTTTGTGGCACCAACCGGTACTAAAGGTTAGACCTTTAGTACCGGTTCGTACCACGAACCGGTACTAATGGTGCAATTTTCAAATCCTACCCCACCCCTCCCGGTGTATCGCCTTTTCAGTTTTGTAAAAAGCAAAAGAAAATGATAAAAACTTCAAAATTTAAAATCCTTCGAGATGTAGTTATGTTACTACATCTACTAGTTAGGAAATTTTAAAAACTTAAATTTGGACATGTTTTACAAAAAGTGTAGGGAAAATGTAAAACGGCTATAACTTTTGCATACGATGTCTTAAAAAATGTATAATATATCAAAATGTTCAGCACGAAAATCCGCATCCAATTTTGACCGCCTACGCCTATTTGCAAATTTGTAGAATCCTCAAATTCCAAAAGGAAAAAAAAGTTATGCTCAAATTTCAGTTTTTTAAAAAAAAAACTCGTTAAATCTGGTCAAACTATAGTCAAACTATTTATTCAAGAAGTATTAGTGTTACTAAATAATTATTTAAGAATATTAGTGTTACTAAATAATTATTTCAGTTTTTTTGAACTTTGGTCAAATCTGGTCAAACTGTGGTCAAACAATGGTCAAACTACTTATTCAAGAAATATTAGGGTTACTAAATAATTATTATTTTTAGAACAATAGTTTCAAACTCAAACAGTGAAATGTGTGACTTCATGCTCAAGCTAAACTCCTGAGGGTTAATAGGATTGACATCTTACTATTGTCAGGAAAACAACAAGTGCAGACTTGGAAACGAGAGAGAATAGAACCCGGAAGTTAAGCGTGCTCAGGCTGGGGGAGTGGGAGGATGGATGACCGTGAGTTAGATGATTTGGAATGATGAGGGGTGATTAGAGATTAAATTGAGCAGTGGTGAGGGGTGATTAGAGATTAGAGGTTAAAATAAGTCAGAAATTTGAAAATCGGGAAAATATTTCAAAAAAAATTCAAAAAAATTCAAAAAAAATCATTTAGTACCGGTTGACTAAAGGTGGACCTCCAGGCAACAGCCACGTGGAGGGCCTTTAGTCCCGGTTCGTATAAGAACCGGGACTAAGGGGGGGGGGTGTCTTTAGTAACGACCCTTTAGTCCCGGTTCTAGAACCGGGAACCGGGACTAAAGGCCTCTAGAACCAGGACAAAAGACCCTTTTTCTACTAGTGACTGGAGCACTTGAATATTGTACAAAAATGATAGAAGGCATACCGCTCTGCATCGAAACTCCTCAATACTTTCATAATTATCTTACTTGGCAGGTAAGGAGTTCCTTCCGTGTCATAGAAGTTCATGCCAACAACATTCCCCTTAAAATCAACAATGGGCCCTCCAATTCCAGCCTATAGCAGAAAAAACAGAAGTGACATTTAGCAATGGTTACACAGGGAAAAAAGATGTTCGTAGTATGCCTACTGATGTAGTCACTTATTCATAAGAAACTAATTATTTCCATCTTGCAAAAAATATGTAAGAGAAATCAAGTAAGCTAGCAACGCAATATACCTTGGTGATTTTACAGGTGGAGATCTTAAGCTCTTTGCAACCAAATTTACATCGTTCGCCAGTCACTGACCCCTCTGCAGCCATAATCTTGCCTGATTTAAAGACACGGCCAAGAGCTAATACCTCAGGTTGAGGTGCATCAACCAATATTGCTGGTCGATTACTGCGAAACATGGGGATGCTGATAACAGCAACATTATAGCAGAAATCATATTTTTCTAATTTCCCTATAATGCACAGCTCACTTGGAAGACACACTTTAATCTGCAATGATGAAGTGAGACTTAACCAGTGTCTTGATGAACAAGTAAAGAGTAAATAACTACTAATCTAGTACTACAAACCTCTAGGTTATCAACAATCTCGTTTTCATCACCAGAAGTTCTAACCAAGCTTGCTGAAGTCAGAACTCTTGTGGTGGATGTCGATCCATCAAATTCTATACATACACCTGTGCAAGCAAAATGCCTTCTATTGACTGCAAAGGGTAATTTCAGTCTTAACCAGTAATCATATAAAACAAAAAAAGTGGAAAATAAAAAGCTAATAACATTAAATCACCATTGAATGAAGCGAGTGCAACAACACTCCGAGACATCTTTAAAGTAATTCTTCTAGCAGGTTCACTCAAGATATCTGTGCCAAATTTCTCTTCAAAATTAGCTTCCAAACGCATGCCTCCTGGTTAAATAAGCATGGCATAATAGTTAAATGAGATAACAGAGTAGAGTAGTCCATAATGTGATACAAGAGGGAATTGTTAGCACTCAGCACAATCAATAGAAGCAACTCACCATCAGCATAAACTGGTAAGGGATAACCATCAGACTTTAATTGATCATTTATCATCTTTGTAAGGCCTAGTGTGACAAGGTGAAGCAATTCATAACAATGTGTAAGCAAAATAAATACAAATGTTGCTGCCACAAGATGAAGCAGTTCATGACTATGCAAAGTCATAATCAGCAAAACGAAAAGCATACCATTAGATGGCCAGGGAGCTAGAACACGCTTATGTTCGTCATCAATGAGCTCTGGTGTAGGTGCATCCTCATTGAATTCTAGTGCTAGAAGATGAAGACATTAATGGCAATGTGTCAGTAATGACCGAAAGTTACAGTGGATTATGATAACTTGCATGATAATACACATCAGAAGTGACTCTGAAGTGATTCACCTTGTGGCTCAGGGATAGAAGATAAAACTTGTTTCTGGTTATTATTTTCATTTCCCCCACTACAGCCATTTTGATTGGAGCTACCTATAATAAAAAAGAGACAGAACAGAAAAATATTGAGTTTTATGCTGGAGTAGCTCACTTAAAGCATGAATTGATTAGCAGACCATAAACTAATCTCGAAGAGTATGAAACAAGTAACATTGGAAAATGACGAAGAATAGCATGTTATCACATAATTTAGAAGCCTTAAAAGAGTGACCATTCTTAGCTCACCTTCTAGATGGCGCCTTAAAGCACTGGAAAGATTTTGCCAGTAATTTCGTTGCATTTCCTCCCTACTGCATAATGTAGTGATCTCATCATGATGCATACAGTTAAATATGATTGATTTTTCATGAACATAACACATACAAGTATGATTAAATGATTTCTAGATAACATACCTTATCCGAGCAACCCTCAAACATTCATCAATCTTATTTCCTTGCACATATGGAGTTCCTTCCTGATCATGGTAGTCATTCATCCCAGCAATATTCCCATCAGGATCAACAAGTGGACCACCACTTCCATCCTAGCACAAGAATGAAATGTGTACATAGGAAAATTGTAAATTTTGAAGCATACAAAGACAGTGCATATAATGAGTCGACAAATATGGAGAGAAACCTTCAACGCACCATAGTAATTTTGCATGTGGACAACATACGCCCTTTGCTGTCAATTTTACTTGGATCATCACTTGGTACCCCATGTGTTTGCATTAACTTGCCTGACTGGAAACAACGCTTGAGAGCTAACAAATCAGTATGCCGCTGAACTTGCACGCTGTTACTGAAACATACTGTACGAAGATCAGGGGAATATGTAGTGACCACCATAACCATACTGAAAGGCAAAACAGAATGTTGTATCCACCCATCGACCACTTGGTTATTTGGAAGGCGCAATTTTATCTGTAATGACATCACAGAAATACAGCATGACTACCAGATGACCACCAATATCTAAAATAAGCAAATCAGGCGCAGAAAAATAGGCAGCACAAACCTTCAGTCCAAAGATGAACCTACGTCCACTATCTGATGTGCTAACCAAAGCTGACGAGGTGAGAATAGATGTGTTACGTAAACTGTTTTCAACAACTATGCCTGTGCTTTTATAATGCAGCTTGTCTCCTACACAAGATCACTGTTTCAGTTATTGTCAATTGATGATTTTGAGGAAAAAATACTGGGAATAAAATAGTATAATCACCATCATATGAAGCAAGCGAGACAATGCTTGCGGAAAACTTGGTAGCAAGTTCTTGACCGAGTTCCGTCCAACAAAGTTTTTGCTCGATGCTCTCCGCCATATCTTTACAATCAGTCAAGATGCTGGATACTTTCTTTAGGCTCTTACCATTTTTTTGCTGTCCATTTAAGTATCTAGCTCTTCGCTTAACTCTCAGCATCTTCGCTGCCAAATTTGGGTCCCCAAACAAGAAAGATAAGAAATTATCTTCACTGTACTTAAGTTTGAAATTTTTTGTTCAAAATTGCATGCAAGTAACTTAACTTGTACTTCGAAGCCAGTGATAAAAGTAAAAGATATACACCCTCAAGGCCTCAAAAGGACAGTTATGTTACTACATCTACTAGTTAGGAAATTTTAAAAACTTAAATTTGGACATGTTTTACAAAAAGTGTAGGGAAAATGTAAAACGGCTATAACTTTTGCATACGATGTCTTAAAAAATGTATAATATATCAAAATGTTCAGCACGAAAATCCGCATCCAATTTTGACCGCCTACGCCTATTTGCAAATTTGTAGAATCCTCAAATTCCAAAAGGAAAAAAAAGTTATGCTCAAATTTCAGTTTTTTAAAAAAAAAACTCGTTAAATCTGGTCAAACTATAGTCAAACTATTTATTCAAGAAGTATTAGTGTTACTAAATAATTATTTAAGAATATTAGTGTTACTAAATAATTATTTCAGTTTTTTTGAACTTTGGTCAAATCTGGTCAAACTGTGGTCAAACAATGGTCAAACTACTTATTCAAGAAATATTAGGGTTACTAAATAATTATTATTTTTAGAACAATAGTTTCAAACTCAAACAGTGAAATGTGTGACTTCATGCTCAAGCTAAACTCCTGAGGGTTAATAGGATTGACATCTTACTATTGTCAGGAAAACAACAAGTGCAGACTTGGAAACGAGGGAGAATAGAACCCGGAAGTTAAGCGTGCTCAGGCTGGGGGAGTGGGAGGATGGATGACCGTGAGTTAGATGATTTGGAATGATGAGGGGTGATTAGAGATTAAATTGAGCAGTGGTGAGGGGTGATTAGAGATTAGAGGTTAAAATAAGTCAGAAATTTGAAAATCGGGAAAATATTTCAAAAAAAATTCAAAAAAATTCAAAAAAAATCATTTAGTACCGGTTGACTAAAGGTGGACCTCCAGGCAACAGCCACGTGGAGGGCCTTTAGTCCCGGTTCGTATAAGAACCGGGACTAAGGGGGGGGGGGGTGTCTTTAGTAACGACCCTTTAGTCCCGGTTCTAGAACCGGGAACCGGGACTAAAGGCCTCTAGAACCAGGACAAAAGACCCTTTTTCTACTAGTGACTGGAGCACTTGAATATTGTACAAAAATGATAGAAGGCATACCGCTCTGCATCGAAACTCCTCAATACTTTCATAATTATCTTACTTGGCAGGTAAGGAGTTCCTTCCGTGTCATAGAAGTTCATGCCAACAACATTCCCCTTAAAATCAACAATGGGCCCTCCAATTCCAGCCTATAGCAGAAAAAACAGAAGTGACATTTAGCAATGGTTACACAGGGAAAAAAGATGTTCGTAGTATGCCTACTGATGTAGTCACTTATTCATAAGAAACTAATTATTTCCATCTTGCAAAAAATATGTAAGAGAAATCAAGTAAGCTAGCAACGCAATATACCTTGGTGATTTTACAGGTGGAGATCTTAAGCTCTTTGCAACCAAATTTACATCGTTCGCCAGTCACTGACCCCTCTGCAGCCATAATCTTGCCTGATTTAAAGACACGGCCAAGAGCTAATACCTCAGGTTGAGGTGCATCAACCAATATTGCTGGTCGATTACTGCGAAACATGGGGATGCTGATAACAGCAACATTATAGCAGAAATCATATTTTTCTAATTTCCCTATAATGCACAGCTCACTTGGAAGACACACTTTAATCTGCAATGATGAAGTGAGACTTAACCAGTGTCTTGATGAACAAGTAAAGAGTAAATAACTACTAATCTAGTACTACAAACCTCTAGGTTATCAACAATCTCGTTTTCATCACCAGAAGTTCTAACCAAGCTTGCTGAAGTCAGAACTCTTGTGGTGGATGTCGATCCATCAAATTCTATACATACACCTGTGCAAGCAAAATGCCTTCTATTGACTGCAAAGGGTAATTTCAGTCTTAACCAGTAATCATATAAAACAAAAAAAGTGGAAAATAAAAAGCTAATAACATTAAATCACCATTGAATGAAGCGAGTGCAACAACACTCCGAGACATCTTTAAAGTAATTCTTCTAGCAGGTTCACTCAAGATATCTGTGCCAAATTTCTCTTCAAAATTAGCTTCCAAACGCATGCCTCCTGGTTAAATAAGCATGGCATAATAGTTAAATGAGATAACAGAGTAGAGTAGTCCATAATGTGATACAAGAGGGAATTGTTAGCACTCAGCACAATCAATAGAAGCAACTCACCATCAGCATAAACTGGTAAGGGATAACCATCAGACTTTAATTGATCATTTATCATCTTTGTAAGGCCTAGTGTGACAAGGTGAAGCAATTCATAACAATGTGTAAGCAAAATAAATACAAATGTTGCTGCCACAAGATGAAGCAGTTCATGACTATGCAAAGTCATAATCAGCAAAACGAAAAGCATACCATTAGATGGCCAGGGAGCTAGAACACGCTTATGTTCGTCATCAATGAGCTCTGGTGTAGGTGCATCCTCATTGAATTCTAGTGCTAGAAGATGAAGACATTAATGGCAATGTGTCAGTAATGACCGAAAGTTACAGTGGATTATGATAACTTGCATGATAATACACATCAGAAGTGACTCTGAAGTGATTCACCTTGTGGCTCAGGGATAGAAGATAAAACTTGTTTCTGGTTATTATTTTCATTTCCCCCACTACAGCCATTTTGATTGGAGCTACCTATAATAAAAAAGAGACAGAACAGAAAAATATTGAGTTTTATGCTGGAGTAGCTCACTTAAAGCATGAATTGATTAGCAGACCATAAACTAATCTCGAAGAGTATGAAACAAGTAACATTGGAAAATGACGAAGAATAGCATGTTATCACATAATTTAGAAGCCTTAAAAGAGTGACCATTCTTAGCTCACCTTCTAGATGGCGCCTTAAAGCACTGGAAAGATTTTGCCAGTAATTTCGTTGCATTTCCTCCCTACTGCATAATGTAGTGATCTCATCATGATGCATACAGTTAAATATGATTGATTTTTCATGAACATAACACATACAAGTATGATTAAATGATTTCTAGATAACATACCTTATCCGAGCAACCCTCAAACATTCATCAATCTTATTTCCTTGCACATATGGAGTTCCTTCCTGATCATGGTAGTCATTCATCCCAGCAATATTCCCATCAGGATCAACAAGTGGACCACCACTTCCATCCTAGCACAAGAATGAAATGTGTACATAGGAAAATTGTAAATTTTGAAGCATACAAAGACAGTGCATATAATGAGTCGACAAATATGGAGAGAAACCTTCAACGCACCATAGTAATTTTGCATGTGGACAACATACGCCCTTTGCTGTCAATTTTACTTGGATCATCACTTGGTACCCCATGTGTTTGCATTAACTTGCCTGACTGGAAACAACGCTTGAGAGCTAACAAATCAGTATGCCGCTGAACTTGCACGCTGTTACTGAAACATACTGTACGAAGATCAGGGGAATATGTAGTGACCACCATAACCATACTGAAAGGCAAAACAGAATGTTGTATCCACCCATCGACCACTTGGTTATTTGGAAGGCGCAATTTTATCTGTAATGACATCACAGAAATACAGCATGACTACCAGATGACCACCAATATCTAAAATAAGCAAATCAGGCGCAGAAAAATAGGCAGCACAAACCTTCAGTCCAAAGATGAACCTACGTCCACTATCTGATGTGCTAACCAAAGCTGACGAGGTGAGAATAGATGTGTTACGTAAACTGTTTTCAACAACTATGCCTGTGCTTTTATAATGCAGCTTGTCTCCTACACAAGATCACTGTTTCAGTTATTGTCAATTGATGATTTTGAGGAAAAAATACTGGGAATAAAATAGTATAATCACCATCATATGAAGCAAGCGAGACAATGCTTGCGGAAAACTTGGTAGCAAGTTCTTGACCGAGTTCCGTCCAACAAAGTTTTTGCTCGATGCTCTCCGCCGTATCTTTACAATCAGTCAAGATGCTGGATACTTTCTTTAGGCTCTTACCATTTTTTTGCTGTCCATTTAAGTATCTAGCTCTTCGCTTAACTCTCAGCATCTTCGCTGCCAAATTTGGGTCCCCAAACAAGAAAGATAAGAAATTATCTTCACTGTACTTAAGTTTGAAATTTTTTGTTCAAAATTGCATGCAAGTAACTTAACTTGTACTTCGAAGCCAGTGATAAAAGTAAAAGATATACACCCTCAAGGCCTCAAAAGGACAGTGAAGATAACTTTTACCGTGTCGAAAGATATACACCCATATTACAACATCTAAGTCAGACTTAGGAAACAAAAGGACAACTTTCATGCAGAGCCAAAAAATACCAAACCCCATCCTCGTAGGGTCCATCTGCCTCGTCAACAATGTCGATAATCCGAGCAATGTTGTCACCATTGAGGACATTGCTACACCAACCTACCCCCCCAAAAAAAACCTTCCCAAAGAAGGATCTTGCTACACCGACCTACCCGACCATCACTACCAGAATTTACTTAGTTGCCGATGGCCTCATCTATGCCGACGGCCCCCGTCGGCAAAGATAGACATATGCCGACGGCCAAGGCCAGGTCGTAGGCGTAGAATAGCTGTTGGCATATGTAGATCTATGCCGACGGGGGCCGTCGGCATAAGACGGCCGTCGGGACTGCTGGCGATACGCCTACGGGTGCCGTCGGCATAGACGAAGCCGTCGGCATAGCACGGGCCCACCTAACCGGTCAGCGGCGACTGTTTGACGGCGTCGAGGCTACGCCGACGGGGGCTAACGGCGGCCGTCGGCATAGATTTGCTGACATCACCGATCCACGCCGTCTCCACGTCATCGATCCTAGGGAGAGAGGGCCCGTGGTGTGGCAGAGATATGCCGACGGTATACCTGTCGGCATAGGCCTCTGCGTGCGATGCCACATCATTGATCTGTGGCATCGTAGCTCCATGTGCGCAGCTATGCCGACGGCCTTGCCGTCGGCATATCTCTATTTTTTTATTTTTTTAATATTATTTATTATTTTCTTTTTTTCATAACATAAATGTGCCTTATCTAAACAAAAAAACATACCACGATGGTATATCGATTGCCCCCCTCACGGACGTCGCTGCCGCCGTGTCACAAAGGTGGGAAACGGTCGACACGGAGGGAATCTGGTTAGAGGGGGAATTAGGGTGGCCTTCGGTGTGTAGCTATGCCACCGAAACATCGCACGGGTACTGATGCATGTGTGAAAGTGATGTGGCATGCGTAGATGCCCGTCTTGGGGCTCCGTGGTGTGGCCCCCCCTCCACGAACAACAGTGCCGGCCTCACTTGGAGGGGGGAATCATGCGGGTGCGATAGAACCAAGAGAATCTAGTGGTGGGTTGGGTCCAGACCGTGTTCTGGGATACTGCTATGGGCTGACCTATCGCAACCAGGTGAAAAGGTCCACCGGTCAAAGCCCGTCCGGCGAAAGTCAAAGGGCTAGATCCGGCAGTCGTCTGTGTCAGGGTTAGATGGGACGGGGTACCGGGGGTAGCAATGTCGCCAGATGTTGCGGTGGGCCCTCCTATGCTTGTGGAAGCGTGGTGGCAGGCGCAGGCACCCGGCACGCGACTCCGGGGTGTGCCCCCCTCACGGGCGTCGCTGCCGCCATGTCCCGGAGGGGGGAAACGGCCATGTCGGCATGACATGGAGGGAATCTAGTGGTGGGTTGGGCCGCGACGGTGTTCGGGGGTGTAGCTATGGGCTGGTCTATGATAACCAGGTGAAAAGCTCCACCGGTCAAACCCCATCTAGCGAAAGTCAAAGGGCTAGATCCGGTGGTCGTCTCTCTGGTGCAATCCTTACCGACTGAAAAAGATTGCAGTCAAGTTGAAGCCAAAGCTTATGGACTTGTCGATATTGTAGGGGATGAAATGATTGACAAGCACTGCGATACTGATCCAGTGTGGTTTCCCGAAATGTTTAAGGATTGGTAGTGTCCGGATTTCTTGTAAAGTTATTCAGGGTTAGACGGGACGGGTACCTGGGGGGTAGCAATGCTGCCAGGTGTTGTGGTGGGCCCTCCTATGCTTGTGGAAGCGTGGTGGCAGGCGCAGGCACCCGACACGCGGCTCCGGGGAGTGCCCCCCTCACGGGCGTCGCTGCCGCCGTGTCCCAGAGGGGGGAAACGACCACGTCGGCATGACACGGAGGGAACCTTGGGGTGGGTTGGGCCGGGACGGTGTTTCGGGGTGTAGCTATGGGCTAGGCGGCGGTCGTCTGTGTCAGGGTTAGACTGGACGGG